ACTACGGCCGTTATAGAGGACCTTACTTCAGAAGTAATACTACGGCCGTTATAGAGGACCTTACTTCATAAGTAATACATGTAGTAGACTACGGCCGCTGCAAAGGACATTTACTTTAATATCATTAAATCATATTTTGTTGAAATATTTGCCGTTCCCGCGGTAAATCTGCTTTCGGTTTTATAAGAAGTTGACGGAATTCATGTGTCACCGATACATTATATATAGTGATAGATATGTATAGTTATTTCAAGTCACGTGATTATCCGTGACATTAAAACACATTGCAAACATAACGAGATTTGATCAGGATATGTTGTTACATTTGTAAGTGTAGAAAATGTCAGACTCGAGATTTTAAAACGGAGTCGTATTGCATTGTCACATCATTTCTTAATTTTCAGATGAGGGCCTTCAGTACCCTTACTTGGAAATTTGCCTAGGAATTTCAATCACAGGTAAATTATACCTATGCCGTGCACTTTTACACTGAACAACAATGAAACACGAAATATGTCTAAAAATAGTAACAAATAGCTAATGTATATCTAAATATAGTATATATATTTCAAATCCTGAGTCAAGGTCAGGCCAGATTTAACACAAACCCAATGGTTATCACGTAGGCAAGTTAGACAGGTAATAACGTGTATAGAGTGACTCAGTTACAGGTTGAAATAGAAGTTGCCAAAAACATAAAATTGTTTTAAAAATAGAATTTTTGACCTGTGTACATCGCTTTCATGTGATTGTTCTCAATGTTCTATTAATACAATTGTTGATTTTTCGTTTTTTAATTACATTATTACATCACATTCTCCGTCTGATGACAACGACAGTTGTACACTTTTATGATGATGATTTTGTATTCATTCTAGCACACACATACACTCCAGTACACGCACGGATATACGTTTTAATAAATACGCACACACACGCACGCACACACACACAGACAGACCCTTACATACACACACACACACACACACACATACACACACCCACACTCTTATACACACACACACACACACACGCACACACACACAGACAGACCCTTACATACACACACACACATACCCACACTCTTATACACACACACACACACAAACAAACATACACACACACATTTATAGTATTCGTACACATCCACTTTATCTATTTTGTATCATACAGGTGAGTGAACACGATGATGAATTCATATTGAATATATTGCAATAAAAATCACGATGAGTCTAAGCGCTGTTTAATGCAACATGTATGACTTTTCCGATCAACATCGATATTGTCAGCCAATGGTACCAGGTAGGATGCAGTTGCACCTGTAATAAAAGCTGTATTTGTTGTACACACAACTCTGATATATTTAATGCCCTTGTTTATGTATTAGCCGGGTGATACGATTGTATGCCGATGTAAAATATACATTTTTGATGAAGTGATTTGGCATTCCGTGTGAAACAGAAAAAAACCTTGCCCATGTATAATTAACACATAGGTTGAGTTTGATGTAGGTCTGGGGTAGTAAGGTAGACTGTTGAAGCACGTCTCTAAGGACCACAGTTAGCAAGAAAAAGAAAAAGAACTTTTAATTTATATCTCTGCTGAATTTCCACTGAATTCGTTTACCACAATCAAATTCCTCGTACAACTGAACATATTCACGGTTCATTGCATTTTGGAACTGGTATATAACAAAATCAAATTACACTGTATTGGGCGTGGTAAGATGAATGACCATGACTTGTATTCGTATTTTGTGGCCTGAGATAATAAATTACCATGGGTGTTACACCTTGTATATGGTATGAGGTGACTGACCATGGCATGTATCCCTTGTATGTGGCATGAGGTGACTGACCGTGGCTTGTATCACTTGTATGTGGCATGAGGTGACTGACCGTGGCTTGTATCACTTGTATGTGGCATGAGGTGACTGACCGTGGCTTGTATCCCTTGTATGTGGCATGAGGTGACTGGCCGTGGCTTGTATCACTTGTATGTGGCATGAGGTGACTGACCGTGGCTGGTATCACTTGTATGTGGCATGAGGTGACTGGCCATGGCTTGTATCTCTTGTATGAGGCATGAGGTGACTGGCCATGGCTTGTATCCCTTGTATGTGGCATGAGGTGACTGGCCATGGCTTGTATCCCTTGTATGTGGCATTAGGTGACTGGCCATGGCTTGTATCCCTTGTATGAGGCATGAGGTGACTGGCCTTGGCTTGTATCTCTTGTATGTGTCATGAGGTGACTGGCCATGGCCTGTATCCCTTGTATGTGGCATGAGGTGACTGGCCATGGCTTGTATCCCTTGTATGTGGCATGAGGTGATTGGCCTTGGCTTGTATCCCTTTTTGTACCGTTATGGATCTGTGTTTAGATGGAGACTGGAAGTTGTCCCGAGGTTATGATTAGCGCGTTGCAGTAATAATTCAGAAAAATGGGATTATTAGCGACCAAGAGAAGCATATTAACGATAACGTTCATAGGATAATGAATGCCAACAGAATTTGTTTTGTTTTCAGAACGCAGAGTGACCAAATCAGCTTTCCTCATCGAACGTGCAAGACGCCTTTGTAATATGGTATACCCAGAAGGTGTTTTTTCTCGCACGAAGTTGACAGCCACTAAATTAATTTTATATGTGTATTTAGTATTAAGGATTTTCTATAGGTAAATTCGAGGGCTTGTATGCAAAAATTAATATAGTACACATCTCTCTTGTATTTGTTCCGAAGCATGATATTAGGGGCTTTTTAATTCCTCTCGATATCTAAAATTGTAAAATTGTCGTAAGATTTACTAAAGAATCAAATTTGCTGACATACGACTTAGCGTTGTTTACTTTTAATTAAAATGTTTTATTTGTATAGCTGAAGGATACCGTTCATTATCTATACGCGGCAATCACACACATATACACACACACACGGGTCGAGGTGTGAAATTATCTAGAAGACAAGTGTCTTGTCTATTTACATTTCATCTTGCCAATATTTGTAAATGCCAAAAACATGCAAGGACAGGTTTTACTAAAACCTCTTCATATATATACACGCGTGTTACAGTGTCGTATTTATGAAGATACTTAACTTGAAACGAATACGTTAAGAATCTGTCCTCGTTTGTCTTTACCGATATTTTCGAAATCGGCAGAAGCTCGATTAAAAGAACATGTGTTCTTTCTGCCAGCAATGTTTCATAGATGGATTTTTCTAATGTGCTGTAACCGAAGAGAAATTTTGTGCATAACTTTTTTTTCTACACTGACCGTAAAAATAGTGCATGTTTTACTATTTTTCTGTAAAACATTTTGAGTGACGAAATTGATTATAAAACAATAAGGAAAAATTACATTATTCATGTTTTAAATCTACCTGTCTTTTCTAAAACTAGTGAATTGACATATAGATCGCCTGACTTAAAACTAGCGGTTATTCTTGTTGTGGTATCCAGTTAAATGCAAAGAAAGAAATCATGTAGAACTCTCGTACAAGTATGATTGAATTTGATCCCTGGTCTACCGTAGTGTTCTTCCCCTAGCGAGCAGGTAATTCGGTATTTAAATCAGTGTCGCTCGAGACGTCATGTGAATGTCGCTGTCACAAATGGAGATATTATCAATTTCCATAACGTTGAACAACTTTTCAGAGCTCGGTACAGTATTCCGTTTAAACAGCATATAAAATATCGGTTTATGAAATAAAGCAACGATATAACTATTTATACCCCTAAATAAAGTCTTTTACAAAAAAAAACATTTAGAGAGGCGAAAAAGCAACAGCTAATTCATTGTTTGGTTTTACTATTTCTAACTCTAAAGTTGTATTAACACGTGGTATTAAATTATTTGTCTATTGTTACAATCTTAAGGAACCACGACAAATATCCTAGGTGAAATCGATTTTCTTGTGTATGTTTCCATTTGCCCATGCTTATCTCTGGCTTCCGAATCAAGCTGGAGACATGATATGAAGATAAAATAGAATAAATTATTTCAAGAGAAGTTGGTTTTTTTTTAGATTCAATTTTATTAATGATTTCAAGACATGTCTTAAAAGTTTAAGACTGTATGTGCTTTGTGGTTATAAGAGATTTTTTTTCAAATGTTTAAGATTTCATGTAATTAATGAGTTTAACAGATGTTTTAACTGGGCAAGATTCCATGTGATTCATTATTATTCATTAAAATTTCAAACTTCTCTTAAAATTATAAAAACAATCAAACATCTTTTGAAATAATGAATCTCATGGAATTTCAAACATTCAAAACATCGCTTTAGATAATCAACCATCTGAAATCTTAAACATTTAAAACAGCTATGAAATGAATTTAATGGATTGTTTGTTTAATTTCTATTAAGCGTATCTTTTAAAAGGTCGTGTACAATTTTTAGAACATGAGTAAGAGAATTCGAGCGCACCGACAAACAGGAAGGGAGCATTCGTTGTATCCAGTTGTGTGTGGCTGTTCCATCAGTTAAACCTACTCCCGCTATCTGACCTTATTCCCTAACACAAAACAACACACACAGCAGTCTGCCGACCCGGAGTAGAAAATACAACGGCAGTGAAATGTTTGTTGAGGCTTTGGAAGTCGTCATTATGCACATAACTAAGTGGGATTAATTATTAATTAATGGAATGAAGTAGGGTTAAGATCGGTATTCAGAAGTTTATGTCTAGCCCTGCCGGGTGTGTGTGGATTAATCGGAGGTCTAGATCAATGTAAAAAAAGTGACTCGTGTATTATGTGTGTGTAGGAAGCAGTAACGGACCGACGAATACACATCGTGCACACGATCGTGGATTGTAAGCCTGTGGATGTGTTTCTAGACTGGTTTTAAAGAAAAATTGTCTAAGTCATGAGCAGGTATGATTTCTTTTATTCGCCTCAACATTCTGACATGACCTCGGTCGCGGTTTGAAGTTTTAAAACCTGACGGGTACCTGCCAGGAACACGCTGTTCCTAATTGATTCAACTTCTGCTCCAAAGTATGTCGAGTAACGGTAAATCACAGAACATGGAAGTAAGTGTTCACTACGGTGCTGGGGGCTCTGACAAGGAAGATTCTGAGGGGCAGGTTGACATGGGGGAGATCACACCCCCGGGGAAAGACTCGAAAGGAGGGATGCCAAGTCTGTTTGAACGAGCATCAGGGAGTTGGTGGAATCCCAAATTTGATTCAGATGCTCTTGAAAATGAACAATGGAAAAGTTATTTTCCCCAGACACGAAGAAGGTTCCAATATTCTCTGTGCTATATCATTGTTGCATGTGTTGCCTGGTGTATTTTCTTCGGAACGAGCAAAGTTCACCATTGGTTACAGCTACTTGCAGGAACCTTGGTGATCTTGGCTATAGTTGCTGTGGTTCTCTGGTTCACGTTTACTAAATTCTATGAACAATTTTATCTCCACACATCAATTTTAGTATCGGCTACATTATGTATTGGAATCTTGCTTCATTTTGTTCTTTCTAAGATGGAGTTGACAACTGTGGCCATGTTCACAGCGTCCATAGAGTTTATTCTCATGATGTACACAGTTATACCAATGCCGTTATTTGTTGCGGTCGGAATTGGTGTCGTGCATTCCATAATTTACGAAGTTTTGATAACAATCCAGCATCCGGAAGCACAGGAGGTTACATTTATAATTGGTAAGGTACTTCTGCATCTTTGTATACATTTGATAGGAATTCACATCTTTATTATGTTACAAGTGAGGCGTAGAAGCACATTTTGGAAAATCGGACAGTCAGTAATGGCTCGAAGAGAGTTGCACAAAGAAAAACAAGTTCAGGAGCAAATGATTCATTCTCTTATGCCGAAGAAGGTGGCTGATGAGGTCATGGCCACCCGAGAAGACAAGACGGAAGAAGAAGTGGATCCTGGTCAAGGAAAAAGGAACTCCAAGACCAAAAAGGAGAAGGGTGTTATCGTGTTCCGACCATTCAATATGAATAGTATGGACAATGTCAGTATTCTGTTCGCAGACATTGTTGGTTTTACAAAGATGAGTTCAAACAAGACAGCTGAGCATTTGGTAGGGTTGTTAAACGATTTGTTCGGTAGATTTGACAAACTTTGTCAGGAAAATGGGTGTGAAAAGATCAGTACACTGGGTGACTGTTATTACTGTGTATCTGGCTGTCCACAGGAGAGAGCTGATCATGCAAAATGTTGTGTTGAAATGGGTATGGGAATGATCACGGCTATACAGCAGTTCGACGAGGACAACAACGAATCAGTTGGTATGAGGGTCGGAGTACACACTGGTAAAGTTCTCTGTGGAATTGTTGGGACCCGGAGGTTCAAATTCGATGTCTGGTCAAACGATGTCACCCTTGCTAATACCATGGAGTCATCTGGTCTGCCAGGAAAGGTGCACATCTCCGAATCATCACTCCGATTCCTGGATGACGAATATGAAGTAGAACCGGGAGAGGATATTGCAGGTAAGACAAATTCTAAACTATTGCAGAACTTGATTAACAAAATACCACATTTATCAATTTTGCATGTATTATATTACAGACTTAATTGTTAAGTTCAGCTGTGGCTGGTTGTGAAAACACAAGGAAAACCACGTTACAACCAAGTGCCCTACATGAATAAGGACCCCAGGTCTCCAACACAACAATCAGAAGCATGCTCTGTCAGCTGAGTGAATGAAATCACCCATTCCTTTTTACAAATTCTACATGATGATGAATTCACAGACAACCATGACAGCTTCATGCAATTGATTAAAATAGTGTCAGCAATTTGTGAAACATTCATTTATGATCAAAAGCTTCAGACAGAGTCTCGGATTTTTAGACTGAGATAAAAAAAAAAAACCTAACACAAAATGAACGATATATAATGGTATTTGTAAAACTGAAATTAAGTTTCCTGTCAGTTTCTTTCACATTTAAGTTTTATTCACACTTAAGTTAGTCTTTATAATAAAACAAAGAAATTGTAATTTAAAAATCAGGTAGTGGGGTCATTATCCTGTGTTGTGTGCTAAAGCTAGCTTGAGCGTGTCAGGGAGACATATAATCAGGACATGTTGTATTAATGATATCCAAGAGAAATGTGATAGGGAATGCCATTTGGCTGTAAGGTTAATTGGAGCATAAGTTTTCTTACAGCTTCTGATGAAATGAAATGATATGAAACACATTAAAAACTAGGTCACTAGGTCAAAACAACATGAACGGATGAGATGGTGGTTTTGACCTTGTTCACTAGGTTAAGAAAGCCTGAACGGATGAGATGGAGGATTTGACCTTGTTCACTATGTTAAGAAAACCAGAACTGAGATGGAGGTCATGACCTCATACACCTGGTTTTAAAAAAACATGAACAGGTATGATGGAGGTTGTTTACATCTCAGTCTTATGGTTTCAACTAATGGAGGTCTTTATCTTCTTCACTGAATATAAAACAAGTTACAACAATGGAGGTTATAATCTTGTTCAACGGAAATGGGTTCATATGGTGGAAATCTTATCTAGTTTACTAGATAAAGGAAACTGACTGGTTCATATCTTGTTCACTAGGTCTAGGAATGTGTACCTGGTTCATACCTTGTTCACAAGGTGTAGGAAAGTGTACCTGGTTCATATCTTGTTCACAAGGTCTAGGAAAGTGTACCTGGTTCATATCTTGTTCACAAGGTGAAGGAAAGTGTACCTGGTTCATATCTTGTTCACAAGGTGTAGGAAAGTGTACCTGGTTCATATCTTGTTCACAAGGTGTAGGAAAGTGTACCTGGTTCATACCTTGTTCACAAGGTCTAGGAAAGTGTACTTGGTTCATACCTTGTTCACAAGGTCTAGGAAAGTGTACCTGGTTCATATCTTGTTCACAAGGTGAAGGAAAGTGTACCTGGTTCACGTGGTAGAGGTCTTATCTTGTTATCAGTGTTTAGAAAACTGTATCCAGTATGATAGATATTGATTGATGTTAATGTAAGGTTGAATTACAAAATCATTTGTGCAAGATTACAGGGGCCTTGTGTTGATTTAGGGGGAAAGAAGGTTTTGTTTTTAAAAGCAAAAGCAGCATAATAGAAGAATTATACGATTTATTCTTATAATTGGAAATAATGCACCAATTATGGTATCTTTTGTATATTACCTTTCCATGGGATTAATTATATATTTCCAAGACAAGTTAATTAAAGGCTATCGTCCCATTCAGGGTTTTTATCCAATTATGTTGAGTGCATGTTTACAGTGGAAAGGATTCCTATTACCATTTGGTGAATCAAGATTAACGATGGTTTACTTTGATCAATAATTCACCATTCTGGTACATGTGCACTTGTATTCAAATGGAAACATTAGTAAGGAAATAAGACATTGATTTTCTGTTACCAAAGATTAGAGGTAGGTCTAAATTTAGGTTACAGGTATATCTTGACATAGTTACAGGTAAATCTGTAGGTTACAGATAGATCCTGACATAGGTTACAGGTAAATCTGTAGGTTACAGGTAGATCCTGACATAGGTTACAGGTAAATCTGCAGGTTACAGGTACATCTGTAGTTAACAGGTAGATCCTGACATAGGTTACAGGTAAATCTGTAGGTTACAGATAGATCCTGACATAGGTTACAGGTAAATCTGTAGGTTACAGGTAAATATGTAGGTTACAAGTTAATCTGTAGGTTACAGGTAAACCAGTAGGTTACAGGTACATCTGTAGTTAACAGGTAGATCTTGACATAGGTTACAGGTACATCTGTAGGTTACAGGTACATCTGTAGTTAACAGGTAGATCCTGACATAGGTTACAGGTAAATCTGTAGGTTACTAGTTAATCTGTAGGTTACAGGTAAACCTGTAGGTTACAGGTACATCTGTAGGTTACAGGTACATCTGTAGTTAACAGGTAGATCCTGACATAGGTTACAGGTAAATCTGTAGGTTACAAGTTAATCTGTAGGTTACAGGTAAACCTGTAGGTTACAGGTACATCTGTAGTTAACAGGTAGATCCTGACATAGGTTACAGGTAAATATGTAGGTTACATATAGATCCTGATATAGGTTACAGGTATATCTGTAGGTTACAGGTAAACCTGTAGGTTACAAGTACATCTGTAGTTAACAGGTAGATCCTGACATAGGTTACAGGTAAATCTGTAGGTTGCAGATAGATCCTGATATAGGTTACAGGTATATCTGTTGGTAACAGGTAAAGCTGTAGGTAACATGTAAATCTGTAGGTTACAGATAGATCCTGACAGAAGCTACAGATAAATTTGTAGTTAACAGGTTGTTATGAATTCAGGTTACAGGTACATCTTGACAAAGTTATAAGTAAACTGTAGGTTACAGCAGGCTGTCAACCAATTCCTATAGTCCTATATTTCCTATATTTTGGTTTAAAAACCTTTATTTTGAAAGACCTATATTTCCTATATTTTTCAGGAAATTTGTCGCTGATACATGTAGAGATTGTAAATATTTCTTTGATACTGCTTTTGGCTGCATTATTTTACAAGTTAGAGAATTCTTAAGTCTTTAACAGCATCACCAGCCACCAGAAAATGATTCAGTGCATCTCTTTATCACCTGTATGGACACTTTGCAAGGCAGTACAACAGGATATTGGCCTTTTAGGTGCCCATTCAGATGTTGATGATGATGATGATGATGAGCTATGCAGCAGCTCTCTGTCTGGATTGTGATGCTGTTGAAGTGAATGGTTACTTTAAGGTAGTTTTTAATCATTGATTAATATAGAAACAGTAAGTGAATGTAGGAATTGTTAGTATAATTGCCTTTGAATGAAATGATTTCCGTTTGGAAAACTCCTATATTTTGCCTCAAAACTATCAAAAAACTCCTATATTTTGCCTCAAAACTATCAAAAAAAACCCTATATTTGTTGAAAAAATATTTCTATATTCCTCCTTTATTTTGGAGAAGACTTGGTTGACAGCCTGTTGCAGGTAGATCTTGACATAGGTTACAGGTAAATCTGTAGGATACAGGTAAATCAGTAGGTTACAGGTACATCTGTAGGTTACAGGTAAATCTGTAGGTTACAGGTAGGCCTGAATGCAGGTTACAGGTAAATCTGAAGGATACAGGTATATCTGTAGTTAAAGGTAAATCAGGAGGTTACAGTATATCTGTAGTTACAGGTAAATCTGTAGTTACAGGTAGACCTGAATGCAGGTTACAGGTGTATCTTGACATAAGTTTCAGGTGGATCTAGACATTTAGTATATTTTATCTTTAATAGTTAAAATTGTACTAAATTAAATCAGTTTTTACATGTTTAATGAGTGTATCATAGTAAGTAAACAAAAGTGTGATCGCCTATATGGTATAAGATAGACAAATTGTCTTGAAAGGAAACATGAATCAATCTCTTAGAATCCCGTTAGAGACCACAGTAGACACATCAGTATGGTATTAATGAAATCAACTTAGTTGTACATGTGCTTTTTAAAATTATGTCAAAATTCTTTCCTAGTTTTAGGCCAAGGTCTTTATATGTCAGTTATGTTAGCCATTTGCTTAAGGCTTTCATTAGTGAAAAAGATTGGAAACGATGCAAATTATATGAATCTTGGAATAATAGCTTCTTTAAAAATTTATATATTTAATCATGCATGCAGTTATTTTACTTGCATACATCAGAGGTCTGTAAATAACAACCGTTTATGCTTTCTTATCTAATCTAATCTAAGTTTGAAATATTGATATATATATTTATGAGGTTAATTTAATTGTCATAAAAAATATATACATATATATAAATGTAGACATGAAATATCCATATGTACATGTAAGACATCAGTATTGAATTGTTAAAAATTGTAACATTTAGAAAGATATAGTGGTGTTACCTTAATATACTCATTGTAAAATTTGTTGTCGAGAAATGTCAATATTATGAGAATTAGAAAGATAAGATTTCAATAAGCACCTTGGAATCTACCATTTAATTATCGTAATTAATATATAGTGATAAAAGAATAGATATGTAAAGTTCACAATTCACACCTAATGAATTAGAAACACATGCACTTGATAGGATTTAGATGCACTGTAGTCGTTATAGACATCTAAGACAATCAACAAGGACATATTTGTGAACTCAAAGGTTAAAAAGAAAATATTAAATATGATTATCACAATATTTGTATACAAACTGATAAAAATAGATCAGGTAAGTAGCTCTATATTGTGGATGAGTGAATGTACAGTTAATGACCGGTGTTAATAGTGATGTATTGATCCAGGTGAGATTAGGATGTTTTACACAGAATGATCAAAGAAAACTATTGATTGTTGAAGTTTCTTTTTAATTAATTATATTTTTAGTCTGTAAAAACCTTGTTATATTTTACCGTTTTATCATTCCATTAGGAACCTGATATCAATAATTTAAGGAGCTGGGCATTGTGTTGACAGATGTGAAAATATTATTGTTATATACCATTGCA